GGGGCAGCTGGGATCCCTCTGTATATACTTATATACAGACATGTGTACAGTTATAGTTGTACCTAGGTAGTTATAGGTGTATAGATATTTACATATGTAGACTGAATATTTGTATAGGTATATTTATATATTTATCTGGTTATTTTTATATATGTATGCAGTTGTATAGATGCATAGTTATATTGATGTAGTTATAGGTATATGGATATTTAGATAGGTGTATTGATATTTTTATAGATATATTGATATATTTTTTGATATATGTATATTATATTTATATCTGTATTTAATTATATTTATGTATGTATACAATTGTATAGCTGTATTGGTTTATTGATGTAGCTATAGGTATGGATATTTAGACTGGCATATCAATTTCTGTATATTTATATATGGATTTCCTATGTATATATTTATGTGTTATATATAATATACCGTATATAAGATATATTTATAAAAATATAAATATAATACACATTTAATACTTCATTATATTTGTGTCTGTATTTTGTTATCTGTTTATACAGTTATATTTAAATATGTATGGAGTTTTATAGTTATATAATTTTATTTATGTATGTATAGTTATAGGATTATTTAGATAAGTATATTTATATTTGTGAATTTGTGTATAGGCTGTACAGTTGTAAAAATCTGTAATAAATTAATTTTCTTAAACTTAAATTGATATTTGTATAGTTTTATATCAGTAGCACAGGTGTAGCTATTTAATAAATTTAATTTTTTAACTAAGTTGATATCAGCAGCATGGGTGTATCATTTTGTAATGTAATTTTTAAGCTTAAATTGACTTTTGTGTATTTATGTCTCAGTCGCAGGGGTGTAGCTATTTGTAATAAATTTCATTTTTTAACTAAGTTAATTTTGTGGGTTTTATATATCAGCAGCACGGGTGTATCATTTTGTAATAAATTTAATTTTTTAACTTAAATTGATTTTTGTATTTTTATTTATTGGCAGCGCAGGTGTAGAAATGTGCAATTAGAATGTGCAATGTAGAAATTAGCTAATCCTGTTGATTAGCTAAGTCAGACAGGAGAAGGGGATTATCTTTAGCAAACGTAGTTTTCAAGGGGGATTTTTTTGTTGTTTTTATTGGGTTTTGATGGTTTGGCTTTGTTTTTGGTTTGTTTGATTGTTTGGGGTTTTTTTAATTCTTGATAGAACTCAAGAAGGTGCAAAGAAAGGAATTAAAGATTTCAGAATTGGAAAAAGATCTGAAAACAATTCATTTCTCAGCCAGGCCTTCCCCTGACTGCTAGCAGTTAAATAGGTTTGCTTTGGTAGAACTACAGGTTTTCAATCACTTTGTACAGTAGCATTTTCCACCTAAAGAATAATTTCTGAAGCACCTGACCTGGTAGAAAACAGCCACATCCTCTGAGTTTCCTTCACTGACATTTGACATCCTTCCAGGTGCCAGAACTATGCCTGAGACCTAAACCTGCAGCAGGATGTAGGCAGACAAAGAAATAGATAAACCTTGTTTTGTTCAGCTAATTTGTGCCAATAAGGGAAGCAAACAGCTTTTGGTGTGCAATCTGCTGTCTCTGGTTTCCTTCCATCATGTACTATTGCTGCTGGAGCATGTCTGAAGGTCAGCTTCATCGTGAAAATTCAGTCTGTTGGGCCTGAACAATTTTTACAAATCAAGAGCTGGTTTTTTGCTGCCATTTCCATCTGTTGAGGAGTGAGCAGAGTCACTGCGAGCATCTGAGACTAATGACCTGCTTCTCACAGCAAAAGATAAGCCTCTTTATTTATCCTTCAGTATGGCAAGAGAGATTAAGTTGTGAGGGAGTTGTAAACAGTAATTTCATTACAATAGTGGTATTACCAAGTACCAGAGATATACCTGTGTGCACAACTGATGAACTTCAGACATTAGTCCTTTAAGTGGTCCAGAAACTTAATTTCTAGTTATTTTCATAACTCAGATAATGAATTGGATTGATGAATTGGATGAAAAATGGACTGGCTCAATACTGGGTGGCTGAGTGACTTCTGTCCACTTTCATAACTCAGAGATATAGGAGCTCTCTGGGTGGGAAGCTCCAACTGTCCTAAGAAATTCCTCCAGGCAGCTCCTGCTGTGACTACAAGAACTTTAAATGTGTCATTTGACATTGCAGGTGAATAATCTGGCTTTTTTAAGTGATGGTTCTTGCTGCAGCATTGATCTGCTGATACATAGGAAAGACAGTTGTGAACAGCTGGTGCTGCAGAGGCAGAAATAGTTACCCTGGGTAATTGCTTGGACATGGAAAAGCTAAAACGCGCTTTGTACATACTTTCAGAAAGTTTGTGCTGGAGTGTCACTCAGTCCAGACCATCTGGACTATTAGGGATGAACTGAACAGCAGCAATTCTGACCATCATTTAGAAATGCAGGATGGAGCCAGGTAAGCCAAGGATCCTCAAAGCCTTAGGCAAAAGGCAAAAAAGTTAACACATGACTTGCATGGCCTTGGCTCTTCACTGCTACTGTCTTTTGCCAGAAATAACTGAGCATTAGCCCACATTCAAATGCTTCCACCAGCACACAACCTATGATCACTTGCTCCCTGAGAGCCACATGATGGCTCTAGCAAACATAACAAGGATAGCACAGCCTCCACCAGCTGGCCTAGAACTAGCACTAATGTCGCCCTGATCCTTCAGTCTGACTCCACAATTAGAGCACAAATAGCTCTAAATATCATCTAAGTTTCCTTGTCCATGTCCCCCATCCTTCAGTGATGTCAAATCTTCCCCTCATAGCATCGCTATCCTGAATTCCCACACATGAGAACTTCTCCCCATGTTATTCCTGGAAGTCTTTCTTATTCTGTACCCTGAATACATCCACTGTCAGCACAAGGATTTGGATTTTGGTTCTCAAAAGACTTAACCCAGTGCCTTCTCTCTGGACATGAGCTGAGTTTGGTTTTGAAATGGCTCTGCTTTCAAACCAGCAAAAGCAAATACTGAAAATAAAGGAAATAAAAAAGCTGATAGACTTGCTTAGGCTCTTGTTTAAAAAATATCAGAACAATGTTTCAGGTGAAATGTCAGTCCCTTTTGTACTTCAAGTGCAGAGAGTACGCACTTCTAGACCTTTGAGAAACAGCACAGTTGATTCTAAAAAATAAATAGTGACTGAGAAATAACTCTGCTTCTCTTTATTTTTTTTGTAATAAAAATAACTTGCAATATTTGACAATGAAGTTGTCCGTTATCCATTCTAGTGGTGGATTTCTTTACCAAATTAAAATAGTTGCTTCTCTTTGCCTTTTTTTTAAATATATTTCTTTAAAAATCAAAATACCTGTTCTTCTTTGCCTTTTATATTAAAATAATTTAAAAGAATAATATTTTTAAAATAAATGGTTTTTGTTTCCTGAAAGAGTAATTTTTTTATCTCTTATTGCAAGGCAATGTGGCCTCTAAAATCTGCTCATTTATAAACTGAACAACAAAACAACCACTCTGCTCTTTAAGTCCTGGGTCCCCATTAACCTCAGTCATGTGTACCTCTGCCAGATACATGATTCTCATTACGCACTATTGTATTAATTTCTTTTTGCAATAAGTAATTGTCCTAGTTAGAACAGCTGGGATCGATTCATCACTGAATGGGGTAGCCCAAACTGTGTATTCTGTAGCCTTCCATGGCATTTCCCAGAAACTGTTGTCAGCAGAGGCCTGTGAGGTGGGGGGATGTTCCTGTCCTCATGCCCTTTTATGGAATTCCCTACTCTGAGGGAAGGACTGAGCATCCTTTTATGGAATTCCCAGCTCTGAGGGAGGGACTTAGCACTCCTGCCTGAGCTGGAGAATATATAAACCCAGAGTTTCAGAACCTTTGGACCACTCGTGGGATCCAGAGGAGGACTGCAGCTCACCGCTCTCAGCCGGACTGAGACCACCACCCTCGGCTGGGCTGCAATCGCCACTTTTGACTGGACTGCAGCAGCTCTCCCACCGGCAGGTTTTTCCCCTCTCCCTTTGCTTTGGACTCAGGAGGGGGCCCAGGGAGCACCGCTTTGTTTGTGCCCTGGGGTGCTGGGTTGTACATTTGGGCTTTGTGGGTTAGGGCCGGTTGCTTGTCCGTGTGGTCGTACTTATTGTATTATTTTATTAAATTGTTATTCTGACTTGTAATCTCTCTTTTGAGTTGGGTTGGTTTCCCCTGCTGGTTAACTTTTAAACCAGCACAGTAATTTTTATTCTACTCTCCTGAGACAGTGTATCTACTTGACATATTATTTCAGTAAATTTCCTTAAACTGGGCAACTCCAGTCTTTGTATTAATAGGAAATGAAGAGTATTATCTTAAAAAGTGCTTTTCCAAGATTTAATATGGGCTAGAACCAAAACTATTACTGTCTCCTTCAATAATATTGTCAATAACATAAGTCTGTGCTGAAACAACTTTATTTGTTTGAGACATAGAGATAAAATTATGACTCAGGATGAATTTTGCACTAGAACTTGCCTGTCTGCCAGAACATGTACTCTCTGCACGCTGCCCTGTTTGTCACCAGTCAGTGGAGAGAAACCAGAGCAGAAGTGTGGGTGGCTGGGCAGAGAGGGGGACTGGAGGCAGGCTGAGGGCATCATCCTGTGATAAGCCCAGCTGCCCCTGCTGCCTACTCTGCCTTTGGCATCTGTTGCACTGTGAGTGTGTGGCTGCAGCAGAAATTCTTATGGGAAGAAGCATGTCCAAAATGGCCCTGGGGCTCCAGGGGCCCATGGCTGTGTACCTCACCACATGGGTGCCACCCTATAACACTCCAGCCCTGGAGCCACAAGCTCATGGGCTTAGCCTAGAGTTTTACTTTAAAATATATAGAGAGAGGGTTCTTCAACACCTTGAGATAGTGTCAGGAGAATAAGCCACACACTTGTTCCCAAGAGGCACTTTTTTTTTAGGGAAGAAAATAAAGGAGCTTGGCAAAAGGAGGAGACAGATTATATAGCTACCAGCTCTCAGGTCTGGATGGCAGGGCCACGATTGCATGGCAATACCTGCTCTGGTCCTTATGGCCAACCCCCGCCAGGGGGGGCCTCTGACCCACTGGACACTCTGGGTCTTCAGGCTAGGGTGAAGGGCAGTATCCTCACTGTCCCTGCTAATCTGAGGCTGGGTTAGGGGCTCCAGGAGCTGTGGGGTGTTGAAATTTTCCAGGACTGTTTGTGACTGATAGCTGCTCCAGGGCTTCCCCGTGTGGGCTCCAGGCCCTGACATGAGGGATACAACACCACCTCAGCTCCATGAGGTTTGACCCATCCCTTCCCCCTCTGTATACACCTCCCTGAACCCCCTTCAAGGTGTTTCCGCCCCAACAATTACTGATCTGGTGTGTAAAACACCATCAGTGGGGCACAAGGGGAAGAGGAAAGGAAGTAGAAGAGAGAGAAAACAGCAAGAGAGACTGTGTGAGGGAAATAACAATTTATTTCCCTTTCTTTGAATAAAGAGCTGCAAGAGCTCTGCTAATGCTGCCAGTGGGGTGGCCTCTTGCTGGGCTGAGGAGATTCTTGGGAGCTGGAGGCTGGTTGGAGGGTGCTGGAATCCCTCGGGCAATCACTCCCTGCCCTGGCTGGGCATAGAGAGGCTGCAGCTGCTGCCCTGGGCAGAGGGACCTGCCACTGTCATTGCCTGCCCCAGCTCCTCCTGGGGCTGCTCCTGCTCTGCAGGGACAGGCACAGGTGGGGGATGCCTGGGACCCCTGGGAGAAGTAGCCTCCAATGTGCTGACTTCCTCCTCCAAGTTACAGCCTTTGGGACCACTGGTGGGACTCCTCTCCCAGGAACTGCTGGTCCTGGAGCTATTGGAGCTGGAGCTGGAGTTGCTGGAGCTGGAGTTCCTGGAATTGCTGCTGGAGCTGGCTCTGGCCACAGGGCTGTTGTTCTCATCTCTGACTGCACCAGAGTGCAGCAGCCTCTGGGCCTCCTCGCTGCACTGGCTCACGATTATGTTGATGGCACCATGGACCAGCAGTGTTGTGTGTTGCTTGAGAAGAGGCTCCAGCCCCTCAATCAAGGCCTGTGCATTCGGCCCCTTGACACAGAGGTCGTGCAGGATGGTGCTCTCTGCGGCCTCGACCAGCCACCACCAGCTCCGGTATATTCCCTCCAGCCTCTGGCGCAGCCAGGGCCGCACAGGGTCCAGGAGCTGCTGTCGTCCACGGAAAAGTCCTGCCCAGACCTCAGGAAGAAGGCCACCCCCAAACTCCAGCTCTGAGGCCCTCTGCTCAGGTGGGGATAGTGTACCCTGTGGAGAAGATGGATGGGATGCCACTGGGAAATAGGGGCTGTTCTCATCCAGGCCGTCTGGAGTTGTCCCTGCCATCTGGCAGCTCCTCAGGGGCTGTGATAGCTGTCTCCAGATAGTCGTCTTCACTGTCAGAAAACCTGATAGTCTCTATTGTTCTTCTGCAGAGTGGCAGGATGGATTTCTCTGAGCCCACCGCAGGATACAGCCCAGGCAGAAACAGTGGTGACAGGGCAGAGTAGAAGCCACATCCTTCTGAGTGTCCTGGCAAATGGGGCAGTTGCCATCTGTCTCCATGGCCATTTTGTGCTCTGCAGTGCGCTGGGGAGAGCTGAGGATCAGGAGCTGCTTACCTTTACTGGCGTCACACACTGCAGGAAGGAGAGGCCATGGTCACTGGCTATGGCAGGAAGGGGAGGAAGAAATGTCCAGGTCCCTTGAGAAGGACACCCTCCAAGCTCCCTGCACCTCTTCAGCCACCCCAGGGGGACATTGTCCCACACAGCCAACCTGCACTGCTACCAGTACTCCCAGCTGCCTGAACCAGGCAGGGCCAGGAGTGATGTCCCTGGGACTGGCACTGAGATCTGCCAATGATAGGCACCAGCTAGCACTGGACAAGCCTGGCTTGATTCTCCAGACTTCACTGTCCTGCTCACATGAAGTTCAGGCTGCGACCAGACAGGCCCAGGCTCTGTACACACAGAAGCAGACAGCGACAAGATGTCACAATACACTGTGATGTCACAATCTACTCCTCAGTGACATCAGCCTCCATGCCCAGTGACAGCACAAAAGGCATTCTGTCCCCCAGGCTCCCAAGATAAGCCGTGAGGGAAGTGAGGTCACAATCCATTACCTGGTGATGTCACAGTTCACAGCTTGGTGACATCAGCCTCCATCCCCCAGTGTTGTCAAAGCAGGCCTTCCCATGCTGCAGACACATGGCATCAGCTAAAACTGGGCAATTCAGGCTGGAGACCAAGGTCCCTCTTCCCTTATGAGGATAGACTCGCAGGGGCCAGGTTTCCCAGTGAGGTTTTTGCCATCTCTCTGCTTGGTGGTTTCAAGCCCCATCTGGACAAAGCCCTCAGCACCTGATCTAACCCCAGCACCAACCCAACTTAGGCAGAAGCTTGGACCAGAGACCTTCCAAGGTTCTCTGCACCCACATCCATTCTGTGAGCTTTCCCTAATGATGTGAGAAGACTCAAGTTTAAGATGGCCATCAACAGAGTCCATATCAGCAATTTTAGCAGGGTTTTAGGTTCATGTTCTATATCTCCGCAGTATTCAGTTTAGCATCTGCTTAATTTGCAAAGTGTAAAGTTCTCTCTTCACACAGCCTTGTCCCACAGTCTGGAAGTGCAGCAGAACTGATGAACTCCAACTCAAACTGCCAAAAGTAATTGCCTCTGGATTGATGGATAAACAACAGTCAGGAGGGATGTTTGCAGCAGACTGGTCACATAGACCCAGGACTTTCTAAAGGTCTCGGTGGTAAATTCTGCCCGTGCTACCACATGTGGGTGGCACCCATACTGGGGCATAAGGGAAAAAGGAAGGGCATTAGAAAGGGGTAGAAAACAGTACCTAGAGATTGCATGAAGGAAGTAAAAAATTCTTTGTTTTTCCTTTAATAAAGAGTTCCGAGAACCCTGTTATTGCTGCCGGTGGGGTGACCTCTTGCTGGGCTGGGGAAAGTCTTGGGAGCTGAGGGCCCTCCTCTTTGGGGGGCGCTGGGGCCCCCGAGGTGAGTGGTCCCTGTCCTGGCTGGGAGTGGAGGGGCTGCAGCTGCTGCCCTGGGCAGAGGGACCTGCCACTGTCATTGCCTGCCCTGGCTCCTCCTGGGGCTGGTCCTGCTCTGCAGGGACAGGCACAGGGTGTGGCAGATTGTGATGCCTGGGTGGGAAGGCCTCCACTGTGCCAGCTTCCTCCTCCTGCACAGAGTCTGCAGGGCTGCTGGTGGGAGTCCCCTCTCGTGAGTTGCTGCAGCTGGAGCTGGAGTTGCTGGAGCTAATGATGGAGGAGCTGGAGCTGGAGCTGCTGGAGCTGGTGCTGGCTGCTGGGCTGTTGTCCTCATCCCCAGCAGCGTGGGACCGCAGAAGCCTCCTGGCCTCTTCACTGCACTGGCCCACAATGATGTTGATGGTGTCCTGGACCAGTGGCACTGTGTGTTCCTCCAGGATGTCCTGCAGCCTCTGGACCATGATCTCCACATCTGGACCAAAGACACAGAGGGCATGCAGGATGCTGCTCTGTGCATTCCTTGCCAGCCACCACTGGTCCCCATAGATGGTCTCTAGCCTCCGGTGCAGCCAGGGCCGCAGCGGGTCCAGGAGATGCTGTTGTCGACGGAAAAGTTCTGCCCAGCGGTCAGGCAGGACACCACCGACAGCTTGGGGTGGTGTCCACTGTGAAGAAGATGGATGGGATGCCACAGGGGAATGGGGGCTGTTTCCTTGAGGGCCATCAGGAGCTGTCCCTGCCTGGCTGATGGCATCTGGCAGTTCCTCAGGGGCTGTGATGACAATCTCCATGGAGTCATCAGAAAACCTCACAGTCTCTATCATTCTTCTGCAGAGTGGGCACACGGGATTTATGTGTGTCCACTGCAGGATGCAGCCCCGGCAAAAACGGTGGTGACAGGGCAGAGCAGAAGCCACGTCCTTCTGAGTGTCCTGGCAGATGGAGCAGTTGCCATTTGTCTCCGAAGCCATTTTTGTGCCCTGGAGCACACTGGGGAGAGCTGAGGATCAGGAGCTGCTTGCCCTCCCTGGTGTCACACACCACAGGAGGGAGACACCATGGTCACTGGTATCCCGGGAATGGGAGGAAGAAATGTCCAGGTCCCTTAAGAACAACACACTCTGAGATCCTTGAGCCCCGTCACTCACCCCTGACCACCCCAGGGGATGTTGTCCCACACAGCCAACCTTCACTGCTGTAAGCACCCACAGTGCCCAGCTGCCAAACTAGCCAGGGCCAGGGAAACAGGAGAGATTGCTCTGAGTCTGCACTGAGATCCACTCAGCACCAGAGAAGCCTGGCTCAGTCCTCCAGACCTCACAGTCCTGCCTGGATGGACTTCAGGTTGGAGCCAGACTGGCCAAGGCTCTGCAGTGAGGGATGATATGTCACAATGCATCCCCCAGTGGTGTCACAATCTGCTGCTCAGTGACATCACCTTCCACCGGCAGGTGATGTCACAATGGGATGTCTTTCCCTGCCAGCACTCAGTGTCAGGAGAAAAAATGAAAGACTGTTTTCTGTTTTCAACTTCTACATTTCTGTGTTGCTCTCTCCCTTGGCCACCTATATCATGCATCCATGGCCTTGCGTCTTATCCCTGCTCCTGACCCCTTGCCAAGATTTCCTGTGAGGGGCAGAGTGGTGGGAACAGTCAGCATGGACTGCCTGCAGCTGGATGACACCTTCTCCTCTCACTGCCTTTCCTTGGGCTATGCCAGGATTTGGAGGACTTTAGGTGATCAGTAGCCAACCCTGGGTGTGAGTCTCTCACTCCTGTGGATCATGTCCCTGCCTCAGGGAGAAGCAGAAAGGGGCATTTTGCTCCAGTCTCGTCCAGTGCCACTGGCACTCACTCACAGTGCCAGGTCCCTCTCCACTTGCCAAGTCTCCATGCTTCTGGAAGACAGTGCATTGATGCTCCTCAAAAGCACGAGTGATGGAGCCTGGCCGCACACCTGCAAGAAGGAGCTGGAGTTGCTGTCCCTCCAGACTAGGGTAGAAGGGCTGGTGGCACCCTGCTCATGACTCTGGAGAGCCCAGGATCCATCACCACTGGGCTGGGGCTGTCCCACCATCCCTGCTACATCTTTAGCTCCAAGGAAGCCGTGAAGGTCAGGCCCACATATGTTACAATAACTCATAGCTCAGAGAAAGGGATGAGACTGCCTTGCCCAGGTGGCAGAAGTGTAGGATTGAACGTTTGGCTCCTGCACCCGAGTCTTCAGCCTTTTGCCTTCATGCAGCTTTTCTTCTGTGGGCAAGGGGAAGGTGTGTTTTATGAGAACAGGCTGCTGTTTTCTTCTCATCTTCTCACATATCAAACCTCAATTTCTTCATTGAGCTTGAAAGCTGGAAGTACCTGTTTCTAAGACGGTTCAGATAAACTAGGCTTTAATGCTTTATAACCAAGAAGTTGTTTCCAGAAGTACATGAAATACTGCCTCCTTGAGAGGAAGGGGAAGAAGCCAAAGGAGCAGACACTGTCTTTTCAGACTTCTCCCAGATCAGTCTGTCTGTGTTTCTCCAGACACACTTCGAATATTGCTAGTAACATCTTGCTCCACATTGTTGTCTAAATCAGGCATGAGGGAAGGCCACTAGCCTGGCATGTGGCCTCCAGCAGAAGCTGCTGTGGTGGACTATGTGCTGGTGCAGGATCTGTTGCTTAAAGCTCCCAGCTTAATACATTTATTAATACATAGCTCCAGATTAATACATTTTACTTCAGTCAATCAGGTATTGGATTTAATTATTTTAGCTTTGTGTTCTCTTTCTTCCGTATAACCAGTGGTAATAGCAAGTAGACGGAAGCCTTAGGTGCCAGGCCACCTGTCCCTGCTCCCACTGGGTCTCCATTTCCTTTATCTCCTCATTTCAGGAGTAGATCCTTGCTTAGCCATGGAAGGATGAAAACATCTACAAAAACCATTTACAAAAAGAAAAAAAAATCAGTGGTTTTCTGCAATGGAAGATTTGGCAGTTCTTGTTTCTTAAGGTTTGTTTGTTTTTCTTACATTTGAATCGTCAGTAATTTTGCTCACTTTTTTATTGTGGAGAGTCTTAAAGCACACGATGATTTTTAGTCACATATTTGGCAGCAACTTAAGCTTTAGTCCTGAATGCAGATTCATATCTCCAGAAATCTGGAAGCCTTTCCCAACAATGCCTTCCCATCTAATAAAAACAGGAAAGTAGGGGTAAGAAGTTTGGAAAACACCAAGAGGGGCAGAACATTTGGGAGCAGGG